AAATGCCACAAGACCATGCTAATGGACTGAGATTTTACCTGTTTGCTCATAAAGTACAAATGCTCCTTTCCTGAGTAAATATGACACAAAACATTTAAATAAAGGAGTATAAGCAACGAGGTTTATAACCCAAATCTGTTATAATTTACCAAAACCTAGATTAAACTTGATGTAAAACTTGTGATAAGAAACTTTCTTTTCTTTTTAAATACACGAAGTAGTAAATAAATAGAATCTTAAAAAAAAAAGTTAAAAAAAGGGGGGGGCACTTGGGTGGCTCAGTGGGTTAAGCCTCTGCCTTTGGTTCAGATCATGATCCCAGGGTCCTGGGATTGAGCCCGACATCGGGCTCTCTGCTCAACGGGGAGTCTGCTTCCTTCTCTCTCTCTGCCTGCTTGTGATCTCTGTCTGTCAAATAAATAAATAGAATCTAAAAAAAAACAATGTTTAAATACATGAAGTAGTAAAAGCACCAAATTTTCTAAGATCATGGTCAAATCACAGGGTTAAGGCAATCGGTTATCATCTAATCTAGGCCAAAGACTTGCTTTTACCTAATTACCTACTTTTTTTTTAAAGATTTTTTTATTTATTTACTTGACAGACAGAGATCACAAGTAGGCAGAGAGGCAGGCAGAGAGAGAGGAGGAAGCAGGCTCCCCGCTGAGCAGAGAGCCCCAAGCGGGGCTCGATCCCAGGACCCTGAGATCATGACCTGAGCCAAAGGCAGAGGCTTTAACCCACTGAGACACCCAGGTGCCCCCACTAATTACCTACTTCTTTGATTACCATGGCGGGTAACAACCTCAGTTTCAACTTGGTCTGGTTTATGTGTGTTGGAGGAGTGATGTCAGGCCTGAAAGAACCAGGTTTTCACATAAGCAAAAAAAAAAAAAAATTCTTAAATTCCTCTTAAGGAAAAGAACAGCCTCACAATGACAATTTAGCCGTAATGAAGACTACTCAGATGGTTTAGAGTAAACATACATAATCGAGATAACCTAAGCTCTTAAATCATGTATTGAAATTATGACTGTAACACAAAGTCACAGGTTCTTGTGGGAAGACTTCCAAAGTTCCCAAAGTGGCCAGACACTGAGGGCAGAGATCTGTGGCTGGTGCATTATCTTAGGGAAAACCCTTTACCTAATCTTCCTCTTCACTCAAAACAAAAACAAAAATAAAAAAACCCAAAAAACAAAAAAACTGGTGACTCTCCTTAACCTTTTTTTTTTTTTTTTAAAGACTTTATTTATTTATTTGTCTGAGAGAGAGAGAGGGCACGAGCGAACACAAGCAGGGGGAGTGGTGGAGGGAGAAGCAGGCTCCCCGCAGAGCAAGGAGGCTGATGCGGGACTCGATTCTAGGATCCGGGATCACCACAGCAGACGCTTAACCGACTGAGCCACCCAGGTGTCCCGCTCTCCTTCACCTTCTTTACAGAAAATAATTTTACTTGTTTAGTTATTTTTAATTACAGTCCATTGTGAGGCCATAAGGAATGTGGTCTTTCCCAGAGGAAAACAACCAAGTACTACGAGGCTTCCAGCGGACAGCCTCAAACCTCCCGACTTCCCTGGGCCTCTGCGTGGACAGCAGACTCTGCCGGAACCCTTGAGAGTGCAGTGGCGCGGTGGGCCCCGGGGCAAGAGGCTCTCAGCAGCTTAGTCTCCTTGCAGTAGGGCAGGGAGAGAGACTTCAAAAACAAAGTGAGTTAGGATGTCAAAAGGCCACACTCCAGGGGAATATCTAGAAGAACCATATTTTTAACCTGCTTTTTGTAATTTAATGAAAATATTAAATACTAGCTAACCCAGTTTCTAAATCTTTTTAATTCCAGGGCCAAACAGACTGGAAGCAATTCCCATGTGTTCATGGGGGTCTGTGGGAATGCTGACAGTTTTAATTTACATATTAATGCTGAAAAACATTTTGAGACGCAAAGAAGGGCATTCTTTGGCTTTAGTAATGAATAGAGTAAGGGGAGAGGGGGAAAAAAAAAAACCACCCAGACAGGAAAGTGGTTGAAAAGCCCTAGGCAAAATGGTCTGGGTTTATTTTTTCTGTAATAATTTCAAACTATCCATCACTCACTGTAATAAGATACCAACCAGTGGTGGATTTGTACAGTCTTTTATTTTGCCTAAGATGACTGTTCTTTGGCTGAGCTGTCTTCAAAAAAATGCCTAACAGTCAAAGTTAACAACCTATCTGTCTCAACTCCAACTCCTTCCTGGGAACAACTCATTCTACTGCTTGGTTTCCTCCTTTACCACCCACCCACCCACCCAGCATACCTATCTTACCACTCACAGGGAAACACAAAGGATTGGAACATAGAAATTTTCTTTTTTTAAAATTTTTTAAAGACTTTATTTTAAAGGAATGTATATACCCAATGTGGGACTTGAACTTATAAACCTGAGATCAGGAGTCGCACACTAGACTGACAGGTGCCCCTAGAAATTGTTTTATTAACTTTTATTAAACAGCCCAGTTGTACACTGGCTCATTGGAATTTACTTTTGCTTCAACCCCAGTTCTTTGAAAAATGCAGGAATTCTTTTCATTAAAATATTAGCTTGACCGAAGGATAGCAAGACATGAGCCGCCTTATACCATTAGTTATTGCAACCCTCCCAAGAAGTTGAAAAAACCAGGAAATTAAATATAGTAAAATATGAACAGGAAACATGGTTTGCAAATCATTTAATAACTATAATTATACAGAATTTTCAAATTATTCATTTTATTTTTCTGAATTATACCACATTTGTGGAACAAAACCTATCATATGGCCCTTGAAAGAACTGTTAAACAGTAGATTAGCTCCAATGCAAAACTTTTTTCTGCATTAAGGAAGAGAGGGGAATCCACAGTAATCCTGTGTGGTACGTAGGTCCTACCCACTCATCCCCATGGAACAGAAGAGGAAAATGAGGCTCGGAAAGATTAAGTGACCTACCAAACGTCGCATGGCCAGGAATGACAGTGTCTTGCGAGGCACTGCAAACTTGGCGACTTTTTTTTAACTTTGCAACTTTTAAAGGAAGATTAATTTTAAGTTGAGTACTAGTCATTACTTACAAAATGAATACACTAATGTGATTAATGATACAACATTTCACTGATGTTAGTCTTACAGAAAGTGTAAGAGAAACCAAAATTAAGGACTCCGGATTCATGGAGGCCCTTTGCAAATACCAAATATTCCTAATTTTCCTTATCCTACTACTGGAGGGAAAGGGGAAATCATGTTATGGCTTAAAAAAACAAAACAAAGAAATCCCCCCAAATACACATACAGACAGCAATTCCATTCCTAGGTATATACCCGAAAGAGCTGAAAACAGGTATTTAAACAGACTTACACAAATGTTCATAGCAGTACTATCTGCGATAGCCAAAAAGTGGGAAAAAAACAATGTTCAAGAGATAAATGGATAAGCACAGTGTGGTATCCATGCAGGGAAGTATGGTCAGCCATTAAGAGGTATGAAGTGCTGTATGTGCTGCAACTTAGATTAACCTTGAAAGTACGACGCTAAGTGACAGAAGCCAGACACAAAAGGTCCCATACTGTAGGATGCCATTGCTACGAAATACCCAGAATAGGTAAACCCAGTGACAGAGTCAGAAAGCAGATTAGTGGTTGCTGGAGGGCTAGGATAAAGAGGAGGGCACGGGGTCTCCTCTGGGGTGGTGAAAATGTTTTGGAACGAGATGGTGATAGTTGCACAACATCATACAGTTGTGACTGTATTAAACACCCTGAATTGTACACTTTAAAATGATGACTTTTATGTTATGTGAGTGTCACCTTGATTGAAAAAAAAATTGTAGAATAGGGGTGCCTGGAAGGCTCAGTCAGCGGAGTGTGCGACTCTTGATCTCCAGACCATGAGTTCAAGCTCCACATTGGGTGTAGCGATTACTTAATAAAACAAACAAACAAACAAAAATGCCGAATAATGAAATGATGAGTGACCATAACGTCCTAGATGAATAGCAGGTCATTTGCTTCTTCTTGGTTTGTCACGATTTCAATGGGTTTTTGACTGGCGTAAACCCATATATAAAAAGTTACCCATTAAAAGTTCCAAATAAGGCATTAATGAAGCTGAGGTCCCTAATTTGTCCAGTTGGCAGAGCACCTAGTAGAGTTTACAGTATACAAGAAGCTTTAAAAATGTTTTAAATTTGTATAAAGTGCAAAGAAAAAGAAAACTGAGAAATACATGAAAAAATATAAAGTGGCCAGAGGCTAGACTATAAGCTAACATACACATGCACGGGGAGATCTCCGTATTTGAGCATGCAGAGAAACATAAACTCAAGAGTACGCTTTTCCTCGTAACTTATTTCGTGTTTCTCTGCAAACTCAAGAGTAATAAGTAATAGTTGACAGTCACCACCTTCTGGGTTTCAGCAAAGAGGTCACACACATGGAGGGCCTCTAGCTGCCACTCTCAATTGCTTCCCTGGTGAAACAACGGGCAGGAGGTTAAGTTACTCCAGGAGACTCTCAACAGGGCTCCCATTGTTCCAAGCTCAAAACTCAGAGATACAATGGGCCCCATTCATAAGGAGGCCTCACAGGCTGGGGAAAGGTCCCTTAGTGACAACTTTCTGTTGGGACATTGAATTTTTCATAAACACAGACTTGCCCAAATATGTGTTAATTCGTTTTTAAAAACAGCACAAAATACAGAAATAAAACTCAATGAACACAAAGCTGAGAGTCAGAACACCCAAGTCTTATCACCAGCTCTGTCTTGGATGAGACTTGAAGCAAGTCAACTTGCTCTTTCTGAGCCTCAGCTTTCTCGTTTATAAAATGAAAAGGATTTCTAAGATCGCTTAGAACTCAAATTCTATGAACACACATGAGGTCAACTGATGTTGGTACACTCTTCACTCCAATAAGTGGGGATAAATTATAAGCAAAAATAATCCTTAGTTCACATCTTTTCATTTACTGTCAGCACTTAAAAACAAGGAAGCTTAATAAAAACAGGCAGAGAAACTGTTTTCTGTTCTCTCTAAAGAAACACACAAGACATAATGAATAAGGTCCAACGGGTCCCTCATCCCAACAAGTCTGGGATGACTGAGGCGGGCGGCCCTACACAAAGCACAATGATGAAGGGTATAACCAGAAGCCACAAGTATGTTTTCCTGTCACCTTTTCTTAGGTTATCAGTGCATTTCAAGAATCTCTTGATTTCTTTGCAATGATTCAAAACCCCTAGAAGACAAATGCCATTTACAGTAAGAATGTGATCAGTGTCCCAAGCCTCCACACCATGTCATTTCTTTGTTTTTTCAACTTCGAAACTTGCCAATGCAAGAACTTTGTCTCCGGAGCCTAAGGAGAAAGACACGTGATAGACAAAAGGTTATTTCATGTGCATTTATAATTCTAGGTACCAAGGGGAAAATCTCTCCCATAGATACTGAAACAGGAAATGAAATTGGCTTGAATTATCAGAGCATTGCCTCAAAACCTTCCCAGTGAAATTAGCTTGTATTACCAGAGCATTGCCTCAAACCTTCCCAGTGCCGATTCCCAATTGCTTTCTCCTGCACAAACATCTGACATGCATGAGGTGATTTACTGCCTACAAATCCTCATTCTAGCTTTAAATGCAAAATGGAATATATAAAATTTGAGTTTACTTTACTTTTATATTTACTTTTAGTTGACAAGTATTTTTAAAAGACTAGGTTATATTGATTTAATTATTTTTAAGTAAAAAGTATTAGGAAATAAACCCAATAAAAGGGATTTATAAAGAAAACACTTCTGGTTTTACTTTTACTTTTAACTCAAGAAAAGGCCATCATGTTATCTCACCCATGGTATACAGTGACCTGGAGCAGTAACACACGCTCGGCGTGCACAACTACGAGGGTACTCACCAAGGTCTGTGGAGACTTTCTCAAACTGGCTGAGTATAGCACCTGCATTTGCTGACAGGAAGGCCTCATCGTCTGCAGTCAGCTAAACAAAACAAAACAAAACAAAACAAAACTAAGCCCATGGGAGTGGATTCAAATGTTAACAGGTGGTTCTAAGAAACATGGTTAGGAATGTCTCAGGACCACAAACTGGATCACAGATCAAGAAGTTCTGTACCAGACACTTTATATTTTTTAATTTAATATTAAATTAAATACAGGTACCTTCTCTCCAAGTTTCCTGAGAGCTGTTAGTATCTCCACTTTCTGTTGTGTGTACAGGCCTCTGTCCAGCTTCCCTACCATGAGATCTCTGTCCATCTGAAACGGATGAATGCAAAGTACATGGTACTTAAATTAAAAACATTCTGCCCATAAAATCCAGCTTTTCAGATCTACTACTGCTTCTTTTTTTGTTGTTGTTAAAGTAATCCCCCAACCCAATATGGGGCTCGGACGCACAACCCTGAGATCAAAAGTTGCGTGTTCTTCTGACCAAGTCAGCCAGGTGCCCCCAGAATTACTACTACTACTTCTTCTTCTTCTTCTTTTTTTTTTTTTTTAAAGATTTTATTTATTTATTTGACAGAGAGAGATCCCAAGTAGGCAGAGAGGCAGGCAGAGAGAGAGGAAGGGAAGCAGGCTCACTGCTGAGCAGGGAGCCCAATGTGGGGCTCGATCCCAGGACCCTGGGATCATGACCTGAGCCGAAGGCA